ATGTCCAGAGAAGTCCTGGGGAATAAAGCGTTGGAACTCTCCCAAGATTCCCACCCCCCCAAAGAAAATAATATACGTGTGTGTGTGTGTGTGTGTATATATATAGATATACGCGTGCGCACACACACTGACACACATTTATACGCGTGCACACACATACTCAGACACACACATACATTCACAGACACACACCCATACACTCACAGACACAAACACATACATTCACAGACACACATACACTCACAGACACACACACACTTACAGACACACACCCATACACTCACAGACACACACCCATACACTCACAGACACGCACACTCACACTTACAGACACACACATACACTCACAAACACACACACACTCACAGACACACACACACTCACAGACACACACACACACATTCACAGACACACACACACACTCAGACACACACACATACATTCACAGACACACACATACAAATTATTATTTTTTTATTAAAAAATGTCCACCCAGCCTCCCTACCTGGAGAGCTGGCGTGGACCTGTCCCTGGGATCCAGTGGGTCGGGCGCCTGTCTCCAGATTAGACACGACAAGGGAGCAGTGTCCACTCTGCTGCCTCTCGCCGCGCGGGCTGTCTACAGTAGCTGGGAGCCGGAATATGACGTCATATTCCGGCTCCTGGCATTGGCAAACGGCGCACGGCGCAGGGGAGCAGTGTGGACACCAGTTCTTCGCCGTGTCTTATCTGGAGACAGGCGCCGACTGGGGGTGGAGGGGAGTCCATCACCTCTTGGCCCCTCCATGACAGGGGGAACACGGGGGAAGGAAGAGGGGGCATTTGTGGGCGCTGAGTGCCTGCAGAAACAGTGTTCCTGCTAAAAAAAAAAGTGGACTCAATACATAGGCGTGCCGCGGGAATTAGGGTGTGCCCAGGCACACCCGGCACACCCCATGCGCATGCCTATGACTAGGACCATGCACAGAGCTCCTCAGCTGCGCTCCATTCATGGTCTTATTGAGGGGGCAGGCTGTCGGTAAGCCTGGCAACCCTCTTTAGTGGCAGGCCCACCCCTTTGATGAATTCCCCCCCACCCCCTCCTTTGATGGATGGACCCACTGCTTCATAGGCTAGCACATCACCTAAATGGATGGGAACATTCCCTGCATGGTGCTTTGTGCAGCCTGCTCTCTTCCATACCTACAAAGCATGGAAAATTAGCCGCCATGCATATGCTCAATGAATTTAGAACTATTAAAAATGGTGTTGTCTTGTTATGAACAGTTGACAAATCTTGCCTTCTGTCAGTTACAGTGGAACTGCACTAAGACTGTGTTTACCTAAGCCAATAGCACTAGGCCTATAGGGTAAAAGTACTACGTTATGTTTCATGGTACTACAAAAAATACTTTAGTAAAACTTTATATAAGCTTGTGTCTCTAACTTGTGTCACCAGTCATCTTACAAACAAGGCAGATGACGGAGAGCCTTTGTCCATCCAGGGAATGAATCATTATTTGGATATGTAAATTGCTGCTGGTAATTAGGTCTGGAAAACTAGACCCTTTAATCAGTAAGGCTGGCCATAAATTGTGCCTATCTATAGTCCATAATTTATCTTCTGTAACAATATGGTTATGTTCTTCCAGTAAATGTTCTATACATTTGAATCCAGGCATGCTTACATGTATTTTTGTCAGGAGCTGCTCTTAATGTCAGCATTTAAAGCGATGTCCACTTATTCACCTAGTATAGCGGAACATTAACATTTTCAGCTAAAATTGTTATTTAACCCCTCAGTTGCCAAGGACATGTCAGACTTCTGTGCCCTGCAACTGTTCCTTAAAGGACCACTATAGTGCCAGGAAAACATACTCGTTTTCCTGGCACTATAGTGCCCTGAGGGTGCCCCCACCCTCAGGGTCCCCCTCCCGCCGGGCTCTGGGGAGAGGAAGGGGTTAAACTTACCTCTTTCTCCAGCGCCGGGCGGGGAGCTCTCCTCCTCCTCTCCGCCTCCTCTCCTCCTCTTCGGCTGAATGCGTATGCGTGGCAAGAGCTGCGCGCGCATTCAGCCAGTCCATAGGAAAGCATTCACAATGCTTTCCTATGGACGCTGGCGTCTTCTCACTGTGAAAATCACAGTGAGAAGCGCGTAAGCCCTCTAGCGGCTGTCAATGAGACAGCCAATAGAGGCTGGATTAACCCTAACATAAACATAGCAGTTTCTATGAAACTGCTATGTTTATAGAAAAAATGGTTAACCCTAGCTGGACCAGGCACCCAGACCACTTCATTAAGCTGAAGTGGTCTGGGTGCCTATAATGGTCCTTTAAAGAGGTTAAACTACTTTTTATTTTACTGCTTTGTATTTAAAATTCAGGCTTACATATCCTGGCTTTTTTATATTCCCATCCATTGTCTGCAATCCCAGGTATTTTCAGTTCGTAGCACATTTCTCACAGGACTTCTTGTTAAAGTTTGAAAAGCTCCATCTGATGATTAAATAGCCACAGGGTGTTGCATCTTCAGCTTATTCAATAATTATGTACCATAGTAAATATTGTTCCTTTAGGTTATTTTTAAAAGATTGATACATCATAATTTTCCAAAGAATCTGTAGCAGGCACGATTTCATGCTATTCCACACAGAACGCAACGAGCTAAAATCAGATTTTAATTTAGTTCATTTAAATGAACCTAGAGCTCTGTTACAATTAATTCTCACTTTTTTAATGCATACTTGTTCTTGCTTAATGCTCGCTACAATTAATATGCAATCTTTAAAACAGCGTAACGTCTTTATATTTTATGTATTCACAAAACTGCACAGATTTCAAGATTAGATCGACTTTACTGCATTTTTTGTTTTATTTTTTGTTTGGCTTTAATGCATGGATATCCATAGGGTATAAGATGCAGTGATTCATCCCTATTTCTAAGTCAGGTGGTCCATCTTGTTCATTTCTAACTGGGAGAATCCATTTAAAACCTTGACAGCCATTACTCATGGTACTTAATGAAAGCTTTAAAGTGATTTAATCAACCAGCAAATCAGCCAACAAATCAGCTGTTAAGATCTTGAGTCACCTTTCAAGAGCAACAATAAGAATGCAGAAGCAACCTAACCTCTCTAGAAGCAACAGACCCAAAACTTGTTCCTCATATTCATCAATGTGTGTTGGCACCAAGCAGTTATACTGGTTTACCAAGAGCTTGTTTGAAAAGCCACCAGTACTGCCAGAAAAAAACAAGTAACTGGTACAAGTAACTCATTTATGCATGCTTGTTTGAGTAAAACCCTCTTCACCTCGTGTGTCTGTCAATATTATTTTGTCTGAATTATTTATAGTTGTTACTTACTAATTACAAATTACTGTTATATATTCACATGTGGCCAGTGGCGTACTAAGAGGGGGGCAGAGGGGGAGGTCCGCCCCGGGTGCCACCAGGGTGTGGGGTGCCATGGCCAGGAGCGCTGGCCCCCCCTGCTGCAGCCGCCCGAGCGCTCTGTAGAGCCTCAGGCGGCTGCAGCTTTGCCCGGGCGGTGCATCCATGAGGGCGGACCGCACCGCCCGGGCGCAGCCTGAGAAAGGGGGCTGACAGGAGGGAAGCGCTCAGCGCTCCCTCCTGTCAGCTTCCTTTGCTGTAGCGTGGCCGAGCCCTGCAGCATGCTGGTCCGACGGGTACAGAGAGCAGCTGTCTCCTGTACCCGGCCGGACTAACAGGAAGTGCACACTGAGTGTGCACACTAACAAAAGCTCCCTGTACCCGCGGACTATACTGGGCTCGGCCACGCTACAGCAAAGGTAGGGGGGAGGGGAGAAAGAGAAATTGGGAGGGGGGATGAGAAAGAGAAAGGAGGGGGGTGAGAAAGAGAAAGAAGGGGGGTGAGAAAGAGAAAGGGGGGTGAGAAAGAGAAAGAAGGGGGGTGAGAAAGAGAAAAAGGGGGGTGAGAAAGAGAAAGAAGGGGGGGTGAGAAAGAGAAAGAAGGGGGGGTGAGAAAGAGAAAGAAGGGGTGAGAAAGAGAAAGGGGGGGGTGAGAAAGAGAAAATAGGGAGGGGAGAGAAATTGAAATTAGAGGGGGGAGAAAGAGAAATTAAAGTGAGAAAGAGAAATTAAGAAGGGGGGGTGGGTGAGAAAGCCGGAAGAAGGGGTGAGAAAGAAGGGGGGGTGAGAAAGAGAAAGGAGGGGGGTGAGAGAGAAAGAGGGGGGCGGAGAAAGAGAAAGGGGGGGTGAGAGAAAGGAGGGGGGTGAGAAGAGAAAGGAGGGGGGGTGAGAAAGAGAAAATAGGGGGGTGAGAAAGAGAAATTAGGAGGTGGATGAGAAAGAGAAATTAGGAGGGGGGGAGAGAAATTGAAATTAGGAAGGGGGAGAGAAATTAGGAGGGGGGAGAAAGAGAAATTAGGAGGGGGGAGAAAGAGAAATTGGGAGGAGGAGAAGGAAATTGGAGCGGGAGGAGAGATTGACATTCATCACATACACACAATGCACCCCTTGCACACAGAAAAACACACAATGCATTACACAAACACAGACACACATACACAAGCAATGCAACCGTTACACATAATGCATCCCTTACACACACAGAAATACACAATGCATTCATTACACACACTCAATGCACCCCTTACACACATTCAATGCATCCCATACATACACAGAAACACACCTTGCAGCCCTTACACATACAAACACAATTTCACACAATGCATTCTTTACACACATATCAGGACATCCCCTACACACTCAGTCCCCTGTGAACAAACTCATTGGTGGAACATGAAGGTGGACCCTGGGACCCAGACCTTGAGCTGTGTAAAGGACCCCCAAAAAATGGAGCTGCTTCCCGTTCTCCCAGAACATTGATTTTTGTGACCACAGTTACAAACCGCCTCCAGAGAGCCTGTTCTGCACCAGACCAGTGGAGCCAGACTGCAGCTAGAGCCCATCATTATCCTCATCTGGTTGTAAGTAGGCAATCTAGTATATAATTCGTATACTAAGCTCTAATTTACCTCACATTAAAGAAACACTATAGTCCCCAGAACCACTTCAGCTTAATGTAGTGGTTCTGGTGTCTATAGCCTGTCCCTGCAGGCCTTTTAATGTAAACACGGCGGCACTGCAGCACTGGCGTTGGTTAACATGGCAAATCATATGGCTGGGGCATTGTGATGTCACATGGGGGGCGGCAAACTTTACTTTTGCCTAGGGCGGCAAAAACCCTTGTACCGGCCCTGGCTGGAGGGGGCTGTGTGAGCTGTGGCCGCACAGTGTCCCATGGTAGTTAGGGTGC